TGGGGCTCTACTGAGGATATTTTAAAACTTCAATTTGTAATCTTCTTGGTATGATGGGTGTTTTGTGCTGTTAAGACTTGGAAATTTTTATACTATGTACTGAGATATTGAATTTACTGAAACCTTATGTTTCAGCTAGTTTGACCCTACAATGCTCTATTAACAGAGAGGTTGGGCTCCCTCCCTACTGGCTAATAGTGGTAGAAGTCCTAGTTAGAAGCCTGTGTTTCTCCATAGGTTTCAAGCAACAAGTACACTGAGCATCCCCTGTACTGCTAGATGGAGTTTTAGCTCCAAGTACTCCCCATTAGCACTTCCCTGGCAATGGCCATTTTTATGACATAGTAACAAGTCTCAACTTGCCCATAGGCCTCGTCTGACATCTCAGCTCAGGGAGGCTCTACGATCTTGCTTGGTAGGGGTGGTGTGCCAGGTTAGCCACATGATCTCTCAGATACCATGAACGTCTTGCTCTTTAGTGGTGGGACTGGAAGTGCTAGCTCCATATTTGGCCTTCTCTGTCACTTCCATAACAGGGAAGTGCCTTGCAAGTGTGTGAATATAGGGTTCCCAGTAGAGCTTTGCTAGTGTGGCATCACGATTGTTTCTGCGGTGTTTGCCTAGAATAAATAACTATCTAGAAGCCTTTTGTCTTGCCAGAATGCCCCTTTCCTTTTCCTGTGTGAAATATCTACAGGGAGAGCATGATATTTTTGAGCTTTATTCATCTGTGAGTTTTTTTTTTTGAGTTTTCTTTCTTTTTAAGCTGTTTTTTAAAAAATTGAATTTATTGGTATACTTTAGATACACATAACGATCACAGTCATCATAGGGAATTTGTAACTGTATATATATCTTTTTTTTTGCTGCCTTGAATTTGCAGCAATCTTCCTACCTTACCCGCTCAAGTGCTGGGATTACAGGCATGTGCCACCATGCCCAGCATATATTTTCATTCTTCTTTCCCCCGCCAGTTTCCTCTCCTACTTTTGGCCCCTCTTCCCCTCCTTATTTACAAAAGCTTTGTTTACACTTTATTCCTTCTATTCTCTCTTTTGTTCTTTTCCCTTCCTTCTTTTTCCCTTCCCCTCCCTTGTTCTTCTTCTCATTGTAACATTTTCTTCCTGTTTCCCAAATTTATTATTCATTTTGGTCCTTATATACACCTTCATTTCTCAAACCAGAGACACAATATGGTATTTAAACATATTTGTCTAATTTATTCCACTTGAAAGTATTGTCTGAAGGTACATCTATTTACTTAGAAATGTCTCAAGTTTATCCTTCTTTAAAAGTAGTACCCCATTGTATTAGAAACCCACATATCCATTTATCTTTTGATGGGCAAAATTTAGCTAGTACAAATTGTGATGCTATAAGCAGAGGTGTGTGTATATTACCGTGGTATGATGATTTTAATTCTTTTGGGAAAATACTAAGAAGGGAAATAGCTGAGTAAAATAGGATCTCTAGTTCTAGTTTTCTGAGGAATCTCCACACTGATTTCCACAGTGGCTGCATCAGTCTACCCTCTCAATAACAGTGGGAAAGGCTTCCTTTTTCCTCACATCCCCATCAGCGTTTGTTATTTGTTGATTTCTTGATAATAACCATTCTTTGTGGAAGGAGATGAAGTCTGTGTTGTTTCAGTTTACATCTCTAAAATGACCAGAGATGTTGAACATTTTTCATGCATTTATTTATTGTTTCTCTTTCTTCATCTCAGAAGTAGCTGTTCTTTTTAGATGTCTGTTTTTTGACTGGGTCTTTAAATTTGGGGTTGTTGATTTCTTTGAATTCTTTATATATTCTAGATATTAGTCTTTTGCCCAAGGAACAGCTGGCAACCAATTTCTCCCACTCTGTGGGTTGCTCTTGATTCTGTTGGTAATTTATTTTGCTGTGTGGTCTCTTTTTAATATGCATTCATCTGTATTTGATGATGTTTCTGGGTTACTATGTTTCTTCTACTTGAGCCCTGGAATAGGAACTTGACCAGTGTATCATTCAGGTCCTAAAATTTATTTAAAAATCAAAGTACTTGAACATTCAAATGTTGACACTTTGGCTTAAATCTACTGATATTTATGAAACATTGAATTCTGACATTGCTTCATTTTTGAATTAACATGTATCTTATATTGCTTAACTTTTTATAATGAAATGATTATATTGAATAACTATCAAAATGCATGAACTGACACTTAATAAAGTAAGTCCATATTTCATTTATATTTTAATCATGAAGAACAGAATTTAGGTTATCTGATTATGAAAGTATGTGAATTAAATAATCTTTATTTCTTTTAAAATCTTCAAATATTCTTAGTATTTAACATAGAAACATAAATTCATTATTTCAAAATATGAGTAGTAGTTTGTCATGACCATATAATTTTAGTTAAACTTTGAAGTGCATATGGGACTCCCAATACAAATTTTACTGAAACTGAAAGCAAGGTTCATTAATAGGTTATTCTGAATTTCTTTTAGAAAACAATCTTAGCACTTGATTTACATGTTTTATTTTGATTGTGGACTATTCTGATATTTTTGTGTACTTGATAGTGATTCCATGTCAATTTTTTTTAGTTGAAAGATGATAATGTCTGACCTTAAAAAGAAAAAAATATGGGCTGAAAACTTGATTTTGAAATAAAGACCCAAGTGACATGAATTCACTTTGGAATAATGACTTCATGAAGTCAAACTTATAAAGTTAAAAACTTAGGTTATTTGTGTAGAAGCAATAAGAGGAATCCAAAATATCTTCATTCAAACATGTAAAGTATCAAAAAATGATGCAGTTCTTCCAAGATTGAGGAACATTTAAATGCATTTAACAAAATTTCTGAAAAAGTTATATATAAGTACCTAGTAACTATTTATCAATACATATATATATAGTTGCATTATTTAAAATAAATATCCAGAAAGAGGTGATTTTCTTTTTTAATACGGGGAATCAAACCCACGACCTCATGCTTGCCAGGCAGGCGCTGTGCCGCTGAGCTATATCCCCGGCCAAGAAGGTGAATTTTGATGGTCAAAGTGCATTATCTTAAAATTTAATAGTTACAAGTATTTAATAGTAAGAATATGCGAGCTGATAACTCGTTTTAAATACATAGATATAATGAGAAGCTATGTAAGCATACCTCCAAATTTCTTATATTCAATTGTAATGTCTTTAGAAAATAGCTAAAGGAAAATACTGAATGACATAGTCTCAAATGATGTTTGAAATGTCCTGGGTTTTTAATTCACATAAACGGAAAATCCCTGCATTCAGTAATTTGCAAATGAATATAGAAACTGCTATTTTGAAAGAAAGATTAATGAAGGGGTCTAAAATTCACAGTAGCCACGTGATGTCGCTATACACAACAGAATCTGAAGGAAATGAGGCTCTGATCACCAAAGCTAAAGGAAGAAGCTCCATTTTGTCACGGCCAAAGAGAAGACAAAAATGGTAAGCAGATCAGTGTTTGAAAATATGATGTAAATAAGTATGATTCTGATGTGAAGGGAGAGCAGTAGAGAGGGGTGGTGTCTTTGCGATGCTATTTTCCAGGGAAGGCGGCCTGACAGCCTGGAGCTTGCTGCTCTGGCTGCTGTTCCTGGCAGCCTGGCAGGCTGGGAGCGGCCAGCTCCGCTACTCGGTCCCCGAGGAGGCCAAGCACGGCACCTTCGTGGGCCGCATCGTGCAGGACCTGGGGCTGGAGCTGGCGGAGCTGGTGCCGCGCTTGTTTCGGGTGGCGTGCAAGGAGCGCACAGACCTCCTGGAGGTAAACCTGCAGAATGGCATTTTGTTTGTGAACGGTCGGATCGACCGCGAGGAGCTGTGCGGGCGGAGCGCGGAGTGCAGCATCCACCTGGAGGTGATCGTGGACGGGCCGCTGCGGGTTTTCCACGTGGAGGTGGAGGTGGGGGATATTAATGATAATCCCCCTGTCTTCCGAGGTAGAGTGCAGCGTGTCTTTTTTCCTGAATCTAGGCTGCTTGATTCACGTTTTCCTTTAGAGGGCGCTTTTGACGCTGATATCGGCGTCAATGCTCTTCTCTCTTATACGCTTAGTTCCAGTGATTTTTTTTTTTTGGACGTACAGGGGAGTGATGAACTGAGTCAATCTTTTTTTCTTGTGTTGGGGAAATCTTTGGATAGAGAGGAAACAGCTGAATTTCGTTTGTTGTTGGTCGCTGCTGATGGGGGCAAACCTGGGCTGACTGGCACTGTTTGGCTGCTTATTTCTGTGTTTGATGTTAATGACAATGCCCCTGTTTTTGACCGGTCCGTTTACAGAGTACATTTGTTTGAGACTGTGGCCAATGGGACCTTAGTGATTACATTAAATGCTTCTGATGCTGATGGAGGTTTAAATGGTGAGGTTGTGTTTTCCTTTGGTAGTGATGTTTCTTTCAATATTCTGGTGAAGTTCAAAATTGATTCTAGCTCAGGAGAAATTAGACTTATTGGTAATTTGGATTATGAAGAAATGAAATCTTATGATATTCAGGTCATTGCATTTGATGAAGGAAGTCCTTCGATGTCAGGTCACTGTAAAGTTTTGGTGAAGGTTGTGGATGTAAATGATAATGCTCCGGAAGTCTTGATCACTTCTCTGTCTTTTCCTGTCCGAGAGGATGCTCCTGTTGGTGCTGTTATTGCCCTCATCTCGGTGTCTGACCTTGACTCCGGTATTAATGGGCAGGTGACCTGTTCCTTGTCGCCTCATGTCCCCTTCAAGCTGGTGTCTACTTTCAAGAATTATTATTCTCTGGTGTTGGACAGCGCTTTGGATCGTGAGAGTATTTCTGCTTATCAGGTGGTGGTGATCGCGCGGGATGGGGGCTCGCCTCCGCTGTGGGCCTCGGCCACCGTGTCCGTGGAGGTGGCCGACGTGAACGACAACGCTCCGGCGTTCGCGCAGCCCGAGTACACGGTGTTCGTGAAGGAGAACAACCCGCCGGGCTCCCACATCTTCACGGTGTGCGCGCGCGACGCGGACGCGCAGGAGAACGCGCTGGTGTCCTACTCGCTGGTGGAGCGGCGCGTGGGCG